AATCATGAGGACCTGCCAAGTGGTATGATAGCATTGTTTTATACATGTCCTTGGCTAGGCCTCAGTTTCAAAATCAGTCCTTGGTCCTTGGCCTTGGCCTCGGAAGCAAGTCCTTGGTCCTTGGCCTTGGCCTTGGAAGTCAATTCCTTGGCCTTGGGAGTCAAGTCCTTGGCCTTGGCCTTGGCCTCGGGTTCCCGGTCCTTGGACACATCCCTGCAAATAGTACGTTCTTCTTTCAGAAAGTTGCAATGGCAAATCTTGACCAGCAGACGGCAGTGATCAAAATGGCCATGCACGTCCAAATAGGTCTCTTTTGTGGGGTCAAAATAAATAATTTGGGTTTCTTTCAGAAGGCTGCAATGACAAACGGTGACCAGCAGGCGGCAGAGATCGGATGTTTTCTCGATGATCATTTCCGGTTCAGCGTGGCGCATTGCGAGGGAGTAATAGAGGGAGAGAAATCCAAAAAGAAAGATGGCGATGGAGAGACAAAATGTGACTGTCTGATCGACTTTATTTTTGTTTTTCTACTTACGGTTGAACAAGGTGCACACGGTATGTTATTTCTGCTGATTTGTTTCATGTCTTGTTCAACGGATTATTGATTGTTGTTGTTGAAATGTCTTTTAGTTTTCAAGATGTTCCACGCATAAACGTTTTTGGACATCAGTTCGAGGCGTCGTCCTTGACCGGGGTAGATACACAGGGTAATAAGAAATAATCTGGTCCTCTTTCAGAAGGTGGCAGTGACTAACTCTGACGAGCAGAGGGACGCTATCGGCGCTTGGTGTGCACGGCCAAAGAGGGTTCTCGCGTTTGAGAGCGAAGAAGAACTACACACAAGGTGGAAAAACCGGTGAAGAACGGCCGTTGTGAATTCATTGTAACGTTGTTTGGAATCAGAAATGTTTAAAAAGCCATTAAATGTCACAGGGGGGCAATTTTGTGTTCCTGCTGATTTTTCGATTGTCATCAAAAATCGTGTGGTATTCTTCAAGGATGTTGCAATGACAAACTATTACCAGCAGATGGCAGTAACGGACTTCTGTCGTGCACATCACAATGCGGCTCTCGCAACTGACAGCGAAGAAGGTCAATACACAAGGTGGAAACAGCGAGGAAGAACCACCGTTGTGAATTGTCATGTTTTCGTTCAGAAATATAAAAAAATCCATAGAATGTCACAAAATGATCTTCACAGCGCCTCCTTTATGTGTAACTGCTGATTTTTCGAGGGAAACAACTAATTTGATCATCTTGAAAAGAGTTGCAATGACAAACTGACCAACAGACGGCAGTGATCGACAATCCGTGTATCATTCGTTCTTTCGTTTTTCAACTGCCATTCGAAAACAAAAAATTAAAAAGGAGACTGACAATTTCGTTTTTCGTTTTCTTAATCCAACATGAAAAACGAATAGATGCCTGTTTTTTCATATTTCGATTTTAGGCTCAGATCAAAAGTACGAAACGGAAAAACGGGCCACTGGACTGAATTAGATTTTTATAATTAATTGTTTGCATTTACGTGACCCGGAAGTTCTGTAGGCTAATGAGAATTACCAGCATACTACGAGAGGTACCTATCGCAGCCATGGATAGCTATGTCTTGTTTCGAGGAGCCAAGCGTGTCACCCTGAAGGAGGAGGACATGAATGCTGACAAAATCAGCAGAATTTTCCAGGTAAATATTTTGACAAATAACTTTTTTTGTGAAATTGGACCCATGTTGCACCGCTCATTGCACCTCAACACGCTAATTTGAGATGCGTCGACTGATTCACAACAGCCATTTTGGCACTTGGGGTGACTGAAGTTACACAGCTTTAGCTGCAATTGCTAACCTTAATGCTCAACGTAACAGACCGCGTAACGTATTTGAACCTGTAACACCTACTGCGTAGTCCGCGTTTGGTTGCCTATTTTCGGATAGCGTTTTTTCTGGCAGTATGCCGTGTTATGCTGTTGACTGAACTAACCGACCGCCAAAGGATTCTGTGTTGCAGTTAGTAAATATCTAGTAAATGAAAGTTTTGTCTTTTACAGACAGATGTCTGTGCAGCTCAACTACCCATGTCCAAAAAGAAAAAAAGATAATTTTGCACTTTCTGTTCCTTGGACACATCCCTGCAAATAGTACGTTCTTCTTTCAGAAAGTTGCAATGGCAAATCTTGACCAGCAGACGGCAGTGATCAAAATGGCCATGCACGTCCAAATAGGTCTCTTTTGTGGGGTCAAAATAAATAATTTGGGTTTCTTTCAGAAGGCTGCAATGACAAACGGTGACCAGCAGGCGGCAGAGATCGGATGTTTTCTCGATGATCATTTCCGGTTCAGCGTGGCGCATTGCGAGGGAGTAATAGAGGGAGAGAAATCCAAAAAGAAAGATGGCGATGGAGAGACAAAATGTGACTGTCTGATCGACTTTATTTTTGTTTTTCTACTTACGGTTGAACAAGGTGCACACGGTATGTTATTTCTGCTGATTTGTTTCATGTCTTGTTCAACGGATTATTGATTGTTGTTGTTGAAATGTCTTTTAGTTTTCAAGATGTTCCACGCATAAACGTTTTTGGACATCAGTTCGAGGCGTCGTCCTTGACCGGGGTAGAATCACAGGGTAATAAGAAATAATCTGGTCCTCTTTCAGAAGGTGGCAGTGACTAACTCTGACGAGCAGAGGGACGCTATCGGCGCTTGGTGTGCACGGCCAAAGAAGGTTCCCGCGTTTGAGAGCGAAGAAGTACACACAAGGTGGAAAAACCGGTGAAGAACGGCCGTTGTGAATTCATTGTAACATTGTTTGGAATCAGAAATGTTTAAAAAGCCATTATATGTCACAAAATGATCTTCACAGGGGGGCAATTTTGTGTTCCTGCTGATTTTTCGATTGTCATCAAAAATCGTGTGGTATTCTTCAAGGATGTTGCAATGACAAACTATTACCAGCAGAGGGCAGTAACGGACTTCTGTCGTGCACATCACAATGCGGCTCTCGCAACTGACAGCGAAGAAGGTCAATACACAAGGTGGAAACAGCGAGGAAGAACCACCGTTGTGAATTGTCATGTTTTCGTTCAGAAATATAAAAAAATCCATAGAATGTCACAAAATGATCTTCACAGCGCCTCCTTTATGTGTAACTGCTGATTTTTCGAGGGAAACAACTAATTTGATCATCTTGAAAAAAGTTGCAATGACAAACTGACCAACAGACGGCAGTGATCGACAATCCGTGTATCATTCGTTCTTTCGTTTTTCAACTGCCATTCGAAAACAAAAAATTAAAAAGGAGACTGACAATTTCGTTTTTCGTTTTCTTAATCCAACATGAAAAACGAATAGATGCCTGTTTTTTCATATTTCGATTTTAGGCTCAGATCAAAAGTACGAAACGGAAAAACGGGCCACTGGACTGAATTAGATTTTTATAATTAATTGTTTGCATTTACGTGACCCGGAAGTTCTGTAGGCTAATGAGAATTACCAGCATACTACGAGAGGTACCTATCGCAGCCATGGATAGCTATGTCTTGTTTCGAGGAGCCAAGCGTGTCACCCTGAAGGAGGAGGACATGAATGCTGACAAAATCAGCAGAATTTTCCAGGTAAATATTTTGACAAATAACTTTTTTTGTGAAATTGGACCCATGTTGCACCGCTCATTGCACCTCAACACGCTAATTTGAGATGCGTCGACTGATTCACAGCAGCCATTTTGGCACTTGGGGTGACACAAGTTACACAGCTTTAGCTGCAATTGCTAACCTTAATGCTCAACGTAACAGACCGCGTAACGTATTTGAACCTGTAACACCTACTGCGTAGTCCGCGTTTGGTTGCCTATTTTCGGATAGCGTTTTTTCTGGCAGTATGCCGTGTTATGCTGTTGACTGAGCTCACCGACCGCCAAAGGATTCTGTGTTGCAGTTAGTAAATATCTAGTAAATGAAAGTTTTGTCTTTTACAGACAGATGTCTGTGCAGCTCAACTACCCATGTCCAAAACGAAAAAAGATAATTTTGCACTTTCTGTATTTAAAAAAAATGTTTTACTGAATCACATTTGCAGGTCTCGTGGTTGAGCCCATGGTGTCATCGTGTTGCCACAGCATTGTTGGCTGCAGGATCTGCATTGAACAATGGCAGAAAAATTCTACAACTTGCCCAAAATGTCGAGGGGATGAGTTTGACCTCAATATGCAAAAACTCTCCGGACTGTCTGATGCATTGGCTGTGCTGGAAAACACACTCTACTAGTTAAACTATACAATATATAGTCATGCTGTGAATTGTTCAGATTGTTTCCACTTGACTGTTTTTTGCATTCAAAGCACTTTTGACTTGAAATGTCTGTGCATCTAATTACTTTACCTCTTCCCAGTGTCTCTTGACAGTTGTGCTCAGGTAGCTCATATTTACACTGTTTTATGTTTTATTTGTTAATGTTTTCCAGAAGTTTTGTGAATTTTACACACTGAGGACTTGGTTGTGTTGCTACACTTTTTACATTACAGCTGAGTCTCAACACACAAATGTAATATTTTTTCTATACCTGTGTAAGACTTGAAATGTTAAATAAAACGATATTATTCAAAGAAATACATTTTTATTTGCCAAATTATTCATCTTACAAACATAGGGACACATGACAGATTTGTAACATGTTAATCACTTAGGTCTTCAAAATGTAGAAAAGAGAACGAATCATTTGCTTATTCAGTTACTCAAGAACATCACAGACTGTGAGCAAGCACAACTTGTCACTTTTGCGTACAAGGCAGGGAAAGGAACTGCTTCGTACGCAACAGTGCGAACGAGAATAAGTGGATCCCGAAGTAGCAGACACTGACAAGGCTATTGTCTCAAAATAATATTTATTACAAACGAAAAAAACTCCGTCTAATGGAAAACAGAAAACGCTGGTCAGAACGAGAACCAGGAAATAATGAAATGCGAAAAAAAAAACGCTTGCGAAAAAAGGGCAAGTAAAAGGATAAGACAATATACTAGGATAAGAGTATCTTCAGACTAATCCCCAATGGGATGACGAACGAGTAGCCAGCAACAATCGAATACAGTGTACGAGCATGGGCAATAGCAGTGGAACGGCAAGCAATACTCCGGCAATGAGACGACAGCCGGAGTGCTTAGATATAGCAGGTGAAATCATACACAAATGGACAGCAGGTGTGCAGGCAGCAGAATGAACGCCTGCCACCTGCTGCCAAATACGGAATATGACACAACTAAGTTTTTATTTTTCATACATATCTTGCAGCTGCATTAATTAGGCAGATTAAAGCATCTTGGAAAGGACCATCGTCATTGTTTACCACATGATTAAAAAGAAGAGAGATAACAGGGTAGGTCTCTGCAAAGCTCTGTTCTGCATGACATCTGCCCTCGTCTGAGGAAAATGGATCAGCTCCAAAAGAGGACTCCCAAGTCAGCAAAGATCCCAAGTCTTGCTCATACATGTTTGCCACAACAGAAGCACATGGCAGCAGCTCCTCTGTAACTCCAGCTCGGCAGCCATCTGCTGCCAATTTATTCAGTATTCCTCGACCTAAGATATGGAGTCAAAGCAATAGGCCAAATGGATTGGGACAGGGAAAAGATTAATATTTCTTAATTGTAAATAATTATTACATATACCTGGGATCTTGTGTGCATTCCATGAACCCACCTCTCTGTGAAGTCCAATTTGGCTTACTTGACATGTCAGGTTTGAGATGCGGAATCTCGTGAGGTTGTCCTCCATGTTCACAACCTCTTGGTCAAGCAGGTGCACCAGAGCCCGTTTCAGTGGATAGTTTACACGATTGTTCACCTCTGGCCACATCCTCTCCACTCGAAGGTTCTGTTAATCAAAATTCCAAATGGTATATTTCAGGGAAAGGGCGATACAACGGCAAAAAAAACAACAACTTCACATTCCTAATTTTTTTTTTTAATCTGAATCATCTTAATATTATACTATCCTTTACACAACACTCACCCTTGTTGATGTGGTTTGGAGGTATGGTGGCCTGCTGAGGTTGTGTCTGTAGCAACATGTGACAACATCTATCTCTGCATGTAAAGACTCAGGTAAAACTCCCTGCCGTAATCAAACCGAACTTGGTCCCACATGCCATGATTCACGACTGCAGATCTGGGGAAAAAAATAAATAAATAAATCAAGCTAATGTTGTTACTGCAATAATTTTAGCTAAATCAATAAGAGTGTGAATTTAAAAGATAATGCAGGCCAGAAAAGTTATGACACTAATAACAGTGGTTGTGAATATATTCACCTGTACACATCCTCATAAATCACAGGATTATTTTTTACTGGCATGGTCGAATGTGCAACAATTTTGCTGCTGTAGCCATCAACAGCCAAGACATGGACGACGCCAATCATCCCAAGCTTTTCGTTTTGGTCTCGATGAAGTTTATGACCCATATATTCAGCATGGTAGGGAGTTGGATTTAAATTACGAGCACCCTCAAGAAAAAATGAAATAATAATTACAAATTACAATTACAAATAATAATAACAGAATGAAAAATAATCTGAATATAGGTTATGTCCAGGAAAGTTCTCAGAACGTGAGACAGATAAGGTTGGATGTTGGCTCAATACAATGATGAAACTGCTGAAGCTGCAGCTGCATACACATGCAAGCAGGTTATCCGTGCAGGTATTTCTCAGACTATCATCTGCCTATAGTCTAGGTCCTAGACTATCATGTGTTGGATATAAATATAGTTGGTTATGCCATGTAGTCATTGTTATTAATTATTTTCATAGCTCGGAGCTATCCCAGCCCAGTAATCTCTGAGTCTATGTTGTCTATATGGCTAACATTTACAACATGGTAGCCTTAAGTGTAAATCTGAAAGAAAACCTACCTCATATATTGATCGAAGCAATGCACTTTCCAGCTCCGCATCCGACAAATGCCCTTTTCTCCTCAGATTTTGCTGAGCACAGAATCTTCTGATGCTCATTTCCGAGCATTGCCGAATGCCCATCTGCTGCAACTTCGAAGAAATTTCGGCGTGGGTCAAACCGCTGTTGAAGAACTGTTTGACTATAGTAAAGTGTTGTTCCATCGCCGCCATGCCGCCATTGCACTACCTGAACTGTTGCGCGCAGAACTTCGTAATTCTCATTAGCCCACAGAACTTCCGGGTCACGTAAATACAAACGATGAAATATAAAATTCAAATTCAGTCAAGTGTCCCGTTTTTCCGTTTCGTATTTTTGATCTGAGCCTAAAATCGAAATATGAAAAAAACAGGCATATATTCGTTTTTCATGTTGGATTAAGAAAACGAAAAACGAAATTGTCAGTCTTGTTGGGGGAAGAGCGGCCTTTCTCTTCCTCCGCGTGTTCGTTAATTTCGGATGATGAGGATGGTGGTTAACAAAATAAAGGCTGAAGTCGATGTACAGTACCTAGAGTTTAATTTTCTTTTTTGCAGTTTACGAATCGATTTGGGCTCCTGAGAGTCTCAGATCTCGTCAGAAGAGCGGAGAGAAAATACAGTCATGAGATTATATAGAGACAATATGATAATGAGAGGCGGGGAGATACGCCTCTCATGCAAATCCCGGAAACAAAGAAAGTAACATGACATCTGACCCGGTGTGGCTGGAAGAAGTTGGGAGTGGTGAGGTGAGACCAAACCACAACTACCCACCATTTGGTGTGGTGGCAAGTTCCAGAACCCCCGCTGTGCATGCATCCTGAGATAAGAGTTCTTCCCAGGGGGGCTTAACAGCAATCAGGGACCTACCCAAGGTGCGGGGGAACAACAGAGGACACTTGGGGGACCGTTAATCAACCAAGGAGGAAGAAGATAAGATTCAACACTACATACGTTGTTTTAAGTGTGCAAACAGATGTTCAGGGAAGAGACTGGGATCAATAGTACTCATAGTAAAGCGCAGTCCCTCAATAGCTGCAACACAGAAACTAAAGATAACAGTTCCTCTTTTGATGTTGACATGTCCTCTGGAGGGGTCCTGAGAGTGGTGGGGGTGAGGGGGTACCAAAGGTGTTCGTAATCACAGTAAGCAGGAAATACCTTCAACAGCTTTCTACATTGTTTATTTCAAGTGTCTGAACAAACACAACCTACAGAGAGGAATAACACCTTAGTGATCGAATCTAACTAAGAGGAGAGGAATAATACTGTAACAATTGAGAGGACTAATACTGTAACAATCAAATCTATCTAACAGAGAGGAATAACACTTTATCGATCAAATCTAACTAAGAGGAGAGGAATGATACTGTAACAGTCTCCTTTTTAATTTTTTGTTTTTGATTGGCAGTTGAAAAACGAAAGAACGAATGATACACGGATTATCGACTTTTCAGGGTAAGAAATAGAGCAAGATGGTATTCTTTCATCAGATTGCAATGACAAACTATGACCAGCAGAAGGCAGTCATCGACTTTTGCCTTGCAGTTCCAAATGGAGCTCTCTTGTGAGGTATTGAGAAATAAAATGGTATTCTTTCAGAAGGTGACAGTGACTAACTCTGACGAGCAGAGGGAAGCTGTCGACGCTTGCTGTGCATGGCCAAAGAAGGCTCTCGCATTTCAGAGCAAAGAAGAACCATATACAATGTGGAAACAGTTGAAGAAAGACCGCTGTGGATTGTGTTCAGAAATGTTTTTAAAAGTCCATGAAATGTCCCAAAATTATCTTCACTGGGTGGCCATTTTGTCGTATTGCTAATTTTTCGATGGCAGTGGGAAAATGTTATTTTTAAGAAGGTTGCAATGACAAACTATGACCAGAAGAGGGAATAGACGGACTTCTACCGTGCATGTCCCAATGGGGCTCTTCTCGCAATTGAGAGCGAAGAAGTTCCAAACAAGGTGGAAACAGGGGTGAAGAACGACCGTTGTGAAAGAATTGTGGTGTTATCAGTAGAATAACATAAGAACTTCATTTCCCAGCATGCCACAGTAGTTAGGTTGCAGAGTACAGTTTGGAAGTAAAGAGTCCCACGAGTGCTATCCAGCACGCCTCGTCTCCTTTATTTTATATGTCACGAGAGACAACACATGGTGTCAGAAGTGGCCGTGAGCAGCCTCGGAGTGGAAAGGTTTGCCACGAAAGAGCTACGAAAGCACGAGCGAGAGAGGATTTGGAGTCCCCGGCCGTGTGAGTGACCGCGTGATTGGCGAAGCTACATGCTAGCGGAGTTAGCTACTGTGTGCGTTGGCTCTCAACTGTGAAGTGAAAAGACAGATTAAACCAGCAAAAGAGAATTTTGTGCCCGACGTGGAGGATAACCAACTCCAGAAAGCTGACTTTTACCCCGTTTTGCTGTCATGGATAAGTTGAGTCCACCTACTTCCATGCAACTGACTGGTAGTCTTGCTGATAACTGGAAGCGTTTCAAGCAAAGATTTACTATATACATAGCAGCAAGTGGAGCAGGAGGTGATGATGAAAAACTGAAGGCTCACATTCTTTTGCATGTCATTGGAGAAGATGCTTTGGACGTCTACAACAGTTTTCGTTTGGATGAAGCTAATTTGACTTTGGCAGAACTGATGAAGAAGTTTGAAGAGTACTTTGTGCCGAAACAAAATGTGACCTTTGAAAGGTACAAGTTTTTCACGCATGACCAGCAGCAAGGAGTACCTTTTGATCAATACTTGGCAGAGCTACACACGCTGAGCAAAACATGTGAATTTGACACTCTGAGAGACTCATTAGTGCGAGACAGGATTGTTTGTGGAACAGCGGATAATGCACTGAGAGAAAGACTGCTTAGAGAAACTGAACTTACATTGGATGAGTGTGTCAGTATGTGCAGAGCAGCAGAGACCACTAAAGCACAAGCTAAAGAGCTGCGAAGAGGAGAAACAACAGTGCATGCGATAAATAAAGCACAACGGAAGAAAAATACATTTTCCAAACAAAAAGACCAAAAGGAAAAAACTACAGAATTTACATGTGGTAGATGTGGAGGCAGCCACAAGCCAAAGTCTTGTCCAGCATTTGGAAAATCCTGTAACAACTGTGGAAAAAATAACCATTATGCAAAATGTTGCAGAGCCACATCAAAACAGAAAGTTCACACAGTTGAAGAAGATGACGATAACGAGGAGTTTATCGTGGATGTGGTACAAGCTTGTACAGCAGAAAAGGAAGAATGGATCGTGCCAATAACAGTGAATGACACAATTATACTGTTCAAGTTGGATACAGGTGCACACACAAACCTAATATCAATGGAAGACTACAAAACACTGAAGACAAAGAGCAAAATTCGTCCTGTAAAAACTAGAGTGAGTGGATACACTGGAGAACGTGTTCCTGTTCGAGGTGGATGCATTGCAACTTTCAAACACAAAGATCGGCAGATTAGAGCACAGCTACTGATTGTGGATATGAGTGTACAACCAATCCTGGGACTCAGTGCATGCACAAAGCTCAATCTGGTCAAAAGAGTGTTTGTTGTGACATCTTCAGAAGCGGAAAATGCTCAGGATGTACTCATGGAAGAGTATAAGGACTGTTTTGAAGGACTTGGATGTCTTCCTGGACTACATAAAATACGTCTTGATCAAAATGTGACACCTGTTGTACACCCTTGTAGGAAAGTTCCGTTTGCGTTGCGAAAAAAGCTGAAAGATGAATTAGAGCGCATGGAAGAACTCGGAGTCATCAAGAAAATTGATGAACCAACTGAATGGGTCAGCTCACTGGTTGTTGTACAAAAGAAATCAGGTGCGCTGAGACCATGCCTGGATCCAAGGGACCTAAACAAAGCAATCATGAGAGAACATTTCAAGTTACCAACCAGAGAAGAAATCATGGCACAATTTGCTGGAGCTAAATGGTTCAGTAAATTAGATGCTTCGTCTGGCTTCTGGCAATTGAAGCTAGATGAGGAGAGTTCCCGACTGTGCACGTTCAACACCCCAGATGGGAGATACAGGTTTCTCCGGTTGCCGTATGGTATCTTGTCAGCACCAGAAGTCTATCATAAGACTATTCACATGATTTTTGAGCACATACCTGGAGTAGAGACCATGATGGATGACATCATCGTATGGGGCTCAACTCGAAAAGAACACGACGAAAGACTGAGACAAGTGCTAGACAAGACGAGGGAGGTGAACCTGAAACTTAACAAAGAAAAATGTGAGTTTGCAGTGAAATCACTGACCTTCGTGGGAGATGTGAGCGAAGAGGGAGTGAAGCCAGACCCGAGAAAAACTTCGGCAATCAACAACATGGACAGACCAACCAACAAAGATGAGGTGAGACGGTTCCTCGGAATGGTGACATATCTCGCCAAGTTTGTCCCTCAACTGTCCACACAGTCAGCACCTCTCAGGAGTCTTCTCGAACAAAAGAACGAGTGGATGTGGTCCCATGAGCATGAACAATGCTTTCTAAAACTGAAAGAGATTCTAACAAGAGAGCCCGTGTTAAAGTTCTATGACCCGGAGAAGAGCACCAGGATTTCGGCAGATGCATCACAGTTTGGTCTGGGAGCAGTGCTGCTGCAGCAACATGACGAGCAGTGGTCACCTGTCGCGTATGCATCGAGAGCCTTGACAAGCGCCGAGTCCAGGTACGCTCAGATTGAGAAAGAGCTGTTGGCGAGTTTGTATGCATGTGAGCGTTTCCATCAGTATGTCTACGGTCAGAGGTTTGAAGTGGAAACTGATCATAAACCCTTAGTGTCCATCATGAACAAACCCTTGAATGACTGTCCGGTACGCATACAGCGTATGCTAATCAGGCTACAAAAGTACGACGTGCACATGATATACACACCAGGTAAATACATGTACGCCGCCGACACCTTGTCTCGAGCAATAGACAAAGAAGAACATGCAGACAGTGAGAAAAGCACAAAAATACAGGCATATGTGGACATGGTCGTGTCATCTTTGCCTGTGACTGCGGACAGAACAGAACAGATACGGAAAGAGACAATCGCAGATAACACCATGAAAGAACTGAAGAGCACGATACTAAAAGGGTGGCCGGACAACAAAAAGAATTGTCCTGAGAAAATACAAGATTATTGGAATTGCAGAGCAGAGCTTACGGTGGTGGATGACCTTGTACTGAAAGGAAGCAAATTTGTAATTCCATCCTCACTACGCAAACAAATGCTCCAGAAGATACATGAAGGTCACCTCGGAGAAGTCAAGTGTAAACGTAGGGCGAGAGAAGTGATGTATTGGCCAAGAATCAACCAAGATATTAGCCAGACAACAGCAGCATGTGAACTGTGTCGCATCTACAGGCCAAAACAACAAGCAGAGCCGCTGATGAACCATCCAGTACCCCACAGACCTTACCACAAGGTAGGAACTGATCTGTTTGACCTTGATGGAAAGAGCTACATAGTAGTCACCGATTACTTTTCCAACTATCCGGAAGTTGGTGCTCTGCAGTCAACATCAAGCAAGGCAATCATCAGCTATCTGAAGGCAGTCTTCGCCAGACATTGTATCCCATGTGAACTGTTTACAGGCAATGGTCCTCAGTTTACCAGCCATGAGTTTGCTGCCTTTGCCAAAGAATGGGGGTTCCATCACTCCACGTCGAGCCCTATGTATCCAAGGTCCAACGGCTTGGCGTAATCCTCCGTAAAAACAATTAAAACCATGATGAAAAAAAATTACAAGACAGAGATGACTTTCAAAAAAATCTGCTGATCTACCGGAGTGCACCTCTACAAAATGGACTGTCACCAGCTCAAATGATGATGGGTCAGTGCATTCGTTCCAACCTACCAGTGTCGGAAGACCTGCTGACACCCAAGAGAGCACACAGAGTCCAAAAAACTAAGGAGGAGCAAAAGGCAAAACAAAAAAGGCTGCATGATCGTTCAGCAAAACACCTACCTGTGGTGAAGCCTGGAGACGTTGTGCGCCTCAGGGACATTCCTACGGGGACATGGAAACAGAAGGGCCAGGTGGAAGAGGAAGTTACTCCACGCTCCTCCAAGGTCTTGGTGGGAAATTTGGATCTCAGGAGGAATCGCATGAATCTACAACTACAGTCATCAGTGGAGGATCCTGCGGTTCAAGACACTCTTCAGCAGGACACAGCTGGTTCGGGGGAGTTGGCTGACACAGGGCCTGTTCAAGCTGACCATGATATGACAGCAGTGTCAACGTCACCAGCTGTTGAAAGGATGTCAAGACCTAAGAGACATGTTCAGCTGCCTAAGAAGCTAATTGAGAGTTGTTAAAAAGAAAAAAAAAAACCAAGAAAAAAAAGTTTGTCTTGATGTTTGCAGTTCTATGATAAGTATATATTTGTAAAAAAAAAAAAGCTGTAACATGACCTTATTTTTAAGGGTGAATATAATT